TCGAAATCAATACTCACAGGTTCCCAATCAGATTTTCGGAAATCAAAATCAAAATGTGAAATCAATCAGACATAGGATGTCGCATCTGAAGTCGGAAGCTTTTGAAATTGGAACATATATTCTAATTAGAACAGTTCGCGTCTTGATTATCGGTATTACCAAGAAATCTGGAATCATGATTTCAAGGTTTCAAAATTGAAATCTGAATTTTTGATGGAATGAAATCAAAATCGGAATTGCACACTTCAAAGTCGAAATCGGAAATATATGATCAGGCCCGTCCCAGAAGGTGGGTGATAGGGGCGACCGTCCAGGACCCATTTTTTAAGGGGGGCCAAAATTTTTATAGGCTTTGTTATATATATATATATATATATATATATATATATATATATATTATATATATATATATATATATATATATATATATATATATATATATATAATATATATATATAGTATAACATTCTTAATGTATAAGCCCAACAAAACTCCATTCAAACTCCATATTAGCGGCCCAAATGTAGAACCTAGCCCAACAAAACTTAGAAGCGAGAGACCTAGGCGCAGATTAGAGAATAAACATGATATGGAAAACTGAAACGTCGTAGACTCGCGTCGCGAGATGCAAGCGTGCGTCTGATTTGAATGTTGCGATGATTCTTCTTCTTCTTCAAGCGGGAGACCTAATCACGACTCACGACTCTATTAATCCGCTATTACCGAATTCGTCCATTCCTACTGCATTGTGCATACTACACCAAGTCACGGCTTCGACTCAATTCTGATTCTGATTTTTTGCTTCAATTTTTGAAAGGCTTCTGAAATCACGACTCTATAACTCTATTGCAAGGCTAATACACGATTGTGAGTCTGATTTCATTATCAATTCACTCTAATTTCCTAGATTTTGAGTCTGATTTCATTAGGTGATACCAAATTTCTTTTAATCTTTTTTTGTTTGGTAGTTGCTCACTGATTGCAAGTGTAAAAAAAATTATGTTTGTTTGTTTGCAGCCCAATCTTTGTAACTTTGTGATTCAAAAATCCGATTTTAAGCATTTCTACTACTTCCAAGCAATCTACAAGTCTAAATGTCTAATTTCATTATGGTGAGTTCGATTTTTTTCCTTAGTTTTGACTATACTTGTTGTTTTTTTTTCTTATTCAAGTTGCTGAAAATATTTTACTTTTGTTTGTCTGCAGTCCAAATTTTGTTAACAACTGATTTCTAGTTATACTGGCAATCAAATTTTATTGAGGTAAAGTTTTTGCTTTTTGTTTGCTTTCAAATTACAAATAGCAATCTGTTTTTTTGTTAATCTTTCATCAAAGTTTCTAATTTTTTTTCTTGTTTGTAGATTAACAAAAAAATCATCAAAGTTTTGATACGGTCCTGGTAGATTCAAGCCTTCAACAGAAAAGCACAATTTGGATTTAACCATAAAACATCATCAAAGTTTTTGATTTTCAGGTGTATTATTTCCTTACTAGTCACTATAATGTTTCCTAAAAAACACTTATCAGGAGCCGAAAAAAGAAAAAAACGAAAAATAGTTGAAGAATCTAAATTGAAACAAAAAGGGTCTTTAGATAAGTTCATTAAACTAAAACCAATTGGTTCTTCTAGTGTTTCAAATGAACGTGATGATACTAATGTGTCAAATGATTGCGATGATACTAATGTGTCAAATGAACGTGATGATACTAATGTGTCAAATGAACACGATTATACAATTTGTTTAATGATTGTGATGATGCTAATTTTAATAATCTTTTAGATATTTATGACCCTAGAAATTGGAATGTTCTTGATAATAAAACAAGAGATATTCTAATTGAAAATGACCAATAAGGGAAATGAGTCTTGTGTTTCCTAAAGATAAATTATGTAGACATTCCCTCTTATGTTTTTTATACCCAAAAATTAAATAATGGAGAGACACGAGATCGGAAATGGCTAGTTTACTCAAAGTTTTTGGATAAAGTTTTTTGTTTTCGTTGTAAACTTTTTAAATCTAATAATCAAAAAGGTTTTTTTTAGCAAATGAATGATATAATGATTGGAAACATCTTAGTGTTCGACTTAAAGAACATGAAAGTAGTAATGAACATTTGAGTTGTATGGGTTCTTGGAATGAAGCAACACAAAGATTGAATAAAAACCTTACTATTGATAAAGATTTACAACAAGAAATTTTATAGGAAAAAGAGTGTTGGAGGCAAGTTTTAAGAAGAATAATTGTTGATGTGAAATATTTATCTAAATATAATTTTTTTTCATGAAAAAGAGCGTCCGAGCAGTTCCCCGTGGGGGGGAACCAATTCTTTTCATGAAAAAGAAGGATGGATCGCACAGAATGTACATCGATTATAGGGATCTAAACAAACTAACGGTGAAGAATCGTTATCCGTTGCCGAGGATCAACGATTTGTTTGATCAGCTTCAGGGTGCGTCTTGGTTTTCCAAGATTGATCTTCGGTCTGGGTATCATCAAATGAGGATTCGGGATGAGGATATACCAAAGATGGATTTCAGAACTCGGTATAGGTACTATGAGTTTATGGTGATGTCGTTCGGGCTCACCAACACCCCAACAGCATTCATGGACCTCATGAATAGAGTGTGTAGGCCGATACTGGATCAGTCAGTGATTGTTTTTATTGATTGTATCCTGGTATACTCTAAGACCAGGGAGCAGCACGATCAACATTTGAGGGAGGTACTAGAGACTCTGAGGGCGGAGAAACTTTATGCGAAGTTCTCCAAGTGTGATTTTTGGTACTATGAATTGACCAAGGCCGACCCATTCTTTTATATGTAGTACACTAGTTGATGTAGTGATATGTGGTATGTTAGTTGGTTATATGCTAAGTGGTATGCTAGTTATATATTTGATACGTGCAGGAAAGACCATGAGGGAGC